TACTACTACTACTACTACTACTACTACTACTACTACGACTATTACTACGATTGGTTTTTGGCAGCCGTCTTAGATTCCTCTTCCTCTTCCTCTTCCTCTGCCTCATCCATCTCCTCCTCGTCCTCTTCCTTCCAGTAGCCACTTTGGCTCAAGCCGCTTTGGCTCATGATGATTTGCCCCACGGGGGACCTCGTGGATACCGCTAGTCCGCGGCAGGCAAGATTTCTTGAAGTCTGGCAGAATCTCCCATCGCATTTAGCGTTCGCGGCGGTTGGTAAACGCGCGCGTTTCCCGGACCTGCCGCCCCGAGCGCGGCCCAGGGCCTCATGGCGAAGGGCGTTGTTCCTTGGCATCGCGACGGCGAGCGTCACCTTGGCTGGAAGGAGAGTACCAAAGGAATTTGGGTGTTCCAGGCCGACGGCGACGCTGGAGGACAACGGCAGAGGTGGTAACAAGAGGAAGAAGGATACCAATAAGAAAAAGAAGAAGCACTCATCGTACGAGGTATGTGCATCCTGCGGCACTTGGGAATGGTCATAGCATGGACACCCTGAGTGCTCGAAATGTCACGGGGCTCACTGCAGTCATGTGCGAGGTGAGGCCCAGCCCGGCCTCGAAGGCGACGTCGGAGGAGATGCGCATGATGCCCCCCCCGAACTGCGTGAAGCTGCAGCTAGCCTTCCTGGTAACTTCCTGCGTTTCGACTTGAGTTGCAATTCCACATGGCGGAGCCTGCGGCGCGGGATGAGCCCGCCCCCGACCTGTCGGCAGCCGAGAGGGGCGCGGCCGCCAGCGCGGAGAAGACCCGCCTTGCAAAGGTGGCAGAGGAGGCGGCTCGCAAGGCGCGGTTGTGTCTTCCGGACGTGGAACACATATGATTTCATGTGGGCGAAGGTCAACAGCATTCGCGTAGAGTTGGATGAGGCGACGGACAAGTTGTCTGCGGCCACGGCAGCCCAGGAGAAGGCAGAGACGGAGAAGAACCAGGCTGACCGCCCCCTGCCGCGACTTCAGCCATGGGCAGCGCACGGCAGCGAAGGCGGCGAAGGCTGCGGAGGCACGCTCCGCTGAGGAGGAGCGACAGCGGAGACTGCGGGTCGCGCCCCCCGCGGCCGACGCTACGGGCAGAGCTCCTGCCCCCCGCGGCGCCCCCCGCCACGCGGGCGCCCGCCACGATGTGCCAGACGGAGATGCCAACGACCCAAGTGCTCAAGCGGCTGATGGACCCCCGACGCAACCGCCCGACTCGACTGACCCGTCAGCCGAGGCGCGCCGGGCTTGGCGCGATCATGAGAAGTCTCGCGTGAGTCGCGGGAAGTCCCCCACCAGCCCGACCTCGCCGAGAACGCGTCCGACGTGGGGGGCGAGACCAGCGATCGTAGAAACGCTGCCGAGAACGGCGAGTCGCGCGCACTTCGGAAACAGGGGCGAAAGGCCACCCTCACCAAGGAGGAGCACGAGCGCCTTGAGAAGCCCCGCTCGGGGGCGCCAACGCCGAGGCGGCCGACAGACCCAAGGCGGCGCGGCGAGGTTTCAACCAGCAGTTCAAGGGGGCGTCGTCTGCAGCAGCGGCCCCCGCGACCGTGGCCCCGCAGTTCGGGCAGCAGCGCAGGCGCGCTGAAGCGCCCCAGCGGCGGTCGGCGAGCCGCGCAGAGATCGTCGCAGGGCGCCCGCGAGCTGAGCAACGCGGTCGGGCTCGCGCTCTGCAACAGCATGCCCCGGTCCGAGATAGCCGAGGAATGCGCGCCCCACGCCCGCAAGGCGGCGGGCGTCTTCCCTTCCATGTAAGCACAGCCTGCAGGCCCATGCCCTTCCCGCGCCCACGTGGAGGCGCGCCGCTATGGATAGGCGCCCGAATGTCCAGGCTGGAATGGCAACTGGCGGGGGCGGGGCCCGCGGGGGGGCAGGATTCGCGGCCCGCGAACTCAGCGATTGGGGCGCGCTTCTTCCTTGGCACGCAGGCCTCGGGCGCCGAGTCGCCTCGCCAACGACGGCGCGGAATGAGGCCCCCCCCCCGAGGACGTTGCCACGGCGGCAGGCGCCGACAGGCGGCAAGAAGAAATGTCGCCGCGATCGCCGGCCATCTAGAGGGGCGTTTCTCTCGCCCGTGAAAGAGACCAGCTCGACGGAAGGGTTGGCCGCGGCTCGGAAGCGGGCAGGCGCCTCCTCCGGAGGCCCGCAGGCGGCGCGTCATTTCCTCCGGCCATGGCGCGGAGTAGATGAGCACCCTCTTCGAATGCCAGAGGTGTCGGCTGTCCTTCCTGAAGGAGGGCGATCTGTCCCAGTTCCGGCCCCTCCCCATGCGCCCCCCTTTCCGCCCCCTCGCCGGGGTCGAGGGTCGAGGGGGCTCGGGGCCGTCAGGGGGTGGCGGCAGCGGGCGGCTG